TTTTGGTAACTTGTTGCCAAAGGGGGAGAAAAATGTATAGATCATAGGCTTCGAGTGAGAGAGTGTTGCTTTTGTTCTCTCTTGATTTGGTGGTTAAAACTTGTTTGCTTTTGATTGCTTGAGATACTATGCTATTCTTGTGAGACATTGATGATCATGTGTTTGATCATAAGCTACACTTATGCATGTTTTATGATATTATCTTATCTATCCTATGTGATCATTCACCTTGCTTGGTGATGAGTGCATGTATTCAATATTTATCATTTTGAGCGCTCCACCAAGATGTATGTGACATGGAAGAGCAACCCATGAGCCTAATTCCTTGTGCATTTGCAGTCCAAAGCAAATCTTAAACTATGCACAAATTTAGGGGGAGCTCTTGCGTATCACACACTTCTCAAAGCGACGATGTTTTTCAATCTTATTATCATTTGTCGAAGCTTTGATCTATATGTTGTCATCAATTACCAAAAAGGGGAAGATTGAAAGTGCAACTATCCCTAGGTGGTTTTGGTAATTCATAACAACATATAACTCATTGAGCTAATGCTATTCCAAGACTATTATTTCAGGAAAGCTCAATGAATGGCATGGCATGGATGATGAAAATGGATCCCTCAAAATACTAAGGACAAATGATTGGCTCAAGCTCAAAAGCTCAAGACTCTTCATTTTATATTTTAGTGATCCAAGATCACATTGATTCTATAGGAAAAGCCAATACTATTAAGGAGGGATGAGGTGTTGCTTAATGAGCCTCTTGCTTCATGTGCTTAGTGATATGCTCCAAAACCCTCAGCTACTTTCTCACATCCACAAATGACCTAAACCCAAAGCCAAAATCGGTCACACCGATTCTTCCTATCCGGCGCCACCGATTTCAAAAGTCATAGCCACTGCCACAAACCCTAGGAAAATCGGTCCTACCGATAGAGATCTCGGTCTCACCGAGATGGGATTGTAATCTCTCTGTTTCCCTTCGTAACATTTTGGTCAAACCGAAGTGAGCGATCGGTCCCACCGAGATTGCAATGTAAACTCTCTGTTTCCCTTTTGTAACATTCCGGTCTCACCGAAAAGAGCAAATCGGCCCCACCGAGTTTACCTGACCAACTCTCTGGAAAGCTTATTACCAAAATCGGTCTCACCGAGTTTGTGTAATCAGTCTTACCGAGATTACGTTATGCCCTAACCCTAACCGAATCGGTCTCACCGAGTTGCATGTCAGTCCCACCAAAAATCACTAACGGGCACTAGGTTTACTAAATCGGTCCGACCGAGTCTGTTGAATCGGTCCCATCGAGTTTGGTAAATTGTGTGTAACGGTTAGATTTTGTGTGGAGGCTATATATACCCCTCCACCTCCTCTTCATTCGTGAAGAGAGCCATCAGACTAAACCTACACTTCCAACTTACCATTTCTGAGAGAGAACTACCTACTCATGTGTTGAGGCCAAGATATTCCATTCCTACCATATGAATCTTGATCTCTAGCCTTCCCCAAGTTGCTTTCCACTCAAATCCTCTTTCCACCAGATCCAAATCCTATGAGAGAGAGTTGAGTGTTGGGGAGACAATCATTTGAAGCACAAGAGCAAGGAGTTCATCATCAACGCACCATTTGTTACTTCTTGGAGAGTGGTGTCTCCTAGATTGGCTAGGTGACACTTGGGAGCCTCCGACAAGATTGTGGAGTTGAACCAAGGAGTTTGTAAGGGCAAGGAGATCGCCTACTTCGTGAAGATCTACCGCTAGTGAGGCAAGTCCTTCGTGGGCGACGGCCATGGTGGGATAGACAAGGTTGCTTCTTCGTGGACCCTTCGTCGGTGGAGCCCTCCGTGGACTCGCGCAACCGTTACCCTTCATGGGTTGAAGTCTCCATCAACGTGGATGTACGATAGCACCACCTATCGGAACCACGCCAAAAACATCCGTGTCTCCAATTGCGTTTGGATCCTCCAAACTCTTCCCTTTACTTCCTTGCAAGTTGCATGCTTTAATTTCCGCTGCCCATATACTCTTTGCATGCTTGCTTGATTTGTGTGATGATTGCTTGACTTGTCCTAAGATAGCTAAAATCTGCCAAACTCTAAAATTGGGAAAAGGTTAAGTTTTTAATTGGTCAAGTAGTCTAATCACTCCCCCTCTAGACATACTTCAAGGTCCTACAGCCGGTTATCACCGTCGGGAACCGGCTCTGCCTCGGCCGGGAGCGGGCGAGCGAGGAAGAAGAAGGAGCCAGGCCAGGCGGGCCCCATCTCCTCGCGGCCCCACCTGTCGGCGGGCAGGCATTGACCCCGCCTGCCTAGCTGGATAAGTGACGGGCCCCATAGCCCGCGGGACCCGCACGTTAGTGACCCCAAGCCCCGGCCCTGCCTATGATGATGTGGCAAGTGGAGACGCATTTTGGGCGTGTATGTTTTCATCTCCCAAAAGCGTATTTTCTTAAAACCCGTTTCTGCCTTATCCACTCAGGGGCTTGTTTGTGATGATATTTTTGCAGAAAAGTCCCTGATCTTCATCCCCTCACAACTTTTTGCTCGTAACTCCAAATGAGGTGATTCCAAAGCCCATTTCTTCGTCTCGTCGAGCCCGTTCTGTTAGTCACACTTTCACCATGTGTTAATATTCTGAAAATGACCATTTTTCCCTTGCACGTAAACAGCCCCTCCGAGAGAGGACTGTTTTCGGCGAATCTTTCCGGGGCTTCACCGCACTTCTCCCCGGTGCCTTATTCATCCCCAGGAAAGCCACAATACCCACTGCATGATAGTCATGCAATAGCCATGGTTTTCAACTTGAATCTTTATTAAATGTTTGCTTGTTGAAAATATGGCTATCGTTGTTCCGGTGATGCTTAAAGTTGCATGTTCACTTTCGTGCTATGTAGTCTTGTACTCTTTTATCATGCTCTACCTGCTAGTATTCCTTTCATATGCTTATGCTTGCTAGTGGTACATGTTGATGTTGGTGCTGGTGGTTGGTGCATGACTTCCGTCTGTGGTGTCGTCGTATGCATGTTCCATTGCATTCAGTTGGTTAAATGCTTGCATGGTAGCATTGTTGATATGTTCTTGCATGATATTTATTGTTGATGCTAGTGGTCATGCTATGTTTCTTTGAGTAATGTTGTACTTGTGATATTCATGTACGTCATTATGCCATGCTCAGTTGGATATGGTTCATTGTTGATATGGTCGATAGTTATGTTGATATCATGCTCATGCATTTGTAATTGCATCATGTTATTTTATCATGGCTCAGCATATTTGCATTCAAGTTGAACCGGATTAAATTGAACTTGAACAACTGTTGGCTGAGTCACGGTGCCACCATATCGAGCTGACCAGTGCAACCACGCCTACCTTTATGGGAGGGTCCTAACCGGGTCTATTGTTGTGCCTCTCGTCGGTGCCTCCAACGATGGAAGGTTATGTGCGGGCGCTACCTTGGCCAGGTAGGACGACATAAGCCTTGTGAGCCCGAGTTTGGTTATGTGCACATGTCCCCGTTTGGGACCGTTTTGCCACGATGTGGCCGTTTTGCCACGACGGAGGCCGTTGGTGTCTGGGGTAGACATGGGGCCACCCATGACTAGCCTCGTGGGGAGTTAGTTGGAGTGGCCGGGAGAGTGTCATGGCAGTAGGACGATTTTGTCGGAACACCGTTGGTCCACCCGAATGGGGGTGCGAGGCCATGGGTTCCGTGGTGTGGGTATAGTGTATTAACCTCTACAAAGAGTGTGTTAAATCTATCGATAGCCGTGCTCGCAGATAAGGGCCCAGTTCATGTCGGTCACACTATGGGTCAACAGTAATTATAATAATAATGTGCTTAATAACAACCCCGTTTCGATGATGAGAAAAATGGATTATGTGATCTGTGTATGATCACCGTTTGGTTACGATGTAACCCACTGAACCAAGAATGGTTTCATTTGTGATCCGTGAGTGATCACCGTGGTATCGAGGATACCGAGTTGTTGGATATTCGTGATGTTGTGCGAGAATCGTGGGTAAAGATCAAGCTCCTTGTGATCATTTAATGATTACTGGGGTATTGTTTATACCAAGTTTAATTTAATCCTAAGATGATCGTGTGATGTCCGAGGTTGGTAAGTGCCGCATGTGTTGGTTCCGAGGTAACCCGAGCAAAATAAATGGTGCATATAGTGTCCATCATGTTGCATACTAGTATCGTCAGATTCATATGTTCATGCCATGATCATGTTGTTCTAGTTGTATCATGTTCATGTTATTCATGCTATGTTGTTGTGATGATATCATGTTAATTCCTGATTAACCTGTAATTGCCATGCCGTTGTTTGTCTTGAATGCTTCTGGATTATTGTGAGCTTGCAAGTACATTTAATGTACTGACCTGGCGTGTCATGCCAGCTTGCAGGTCATGCTGGATTTGAATACTTGTTTGCTGTAGATTCTTTGTTTGCGAGCTAAGATAAGCGTTCCAGCCAGAGTCCCCGCGGAGTGGAGTTCACCACCGTCGTCGTTGTTCCGCTGCTAGAGTTATTCTGCTGTTTCGAGTTGTTCTGCTGCTTCGAGTTGTTCTGCTGCTTGCATAGAGCAACAGTGGCAGACGTAGTGTCACTATGCCGATGTAATTCCCTGTTATATCGGGAATCCTTGTACCCAAATAGATTGTAATAAAGAGCTGATTTATTCTATGCTAAGCAGTGCCGTATTCTAGAAGACTTCATCTCGATCTCTGGGCTAGAATACGTGCGTTCTGTTTTTCTCTAGGAGGGGTGCCACACGAGTCGAGAGAAAAATAACACTTTGATCAAGTTTATTGAGAAAAACATATATTGCTACAACATAGGATATACATATACAATGTATGAAAATCTATTTGAGAATGAATCTGGTGGTATCGATTTGAGGAAGAACACCGAAGCAGTCAACTGGAGTCAAACCCCTTCCCCCATTTCCTCTCCGTCCTCCTCTCGCCCCCCTCTCCGCGCCGCGCCACGCCACGCCATGGATCCCGCCGACGACGACGGCCAGCACCTCGAAGGTACGCACCCGCCCGCAGGCCGCTCATCTTCACCCGCCCCGGACACAGACGACGGCGGCAGCGGGTGGGGGAGCGACAAGCCGCCGACGCGCGCGGAGGAGGGGCGCATCGCCGGGAAGGCCACCATGGAACCCTCGCCGTCGCCGGAGTCCGCCATCTCCGATGACGCACGCCCCCAAGGTACCCAATCACATCCAAGGGGGTCTTCTTCTCCATCCCGTCTCGTTCCCTTCAGATTCGATTCCATTCCATTAATTCTCCTAAAAAATGTTCACGCATTTCGATTTGCCAGTCGTCCTCTCCTCTCCGCCGGGCCCAGAAGACGGCGGCAGCGACGATCTGACGCGCGCCGTGTCCCAGCTGACGCTCGCGGAGGCGGGGCTCACCGCCGGGAAGGCCGGGTCCGCCCCCCGCGTCGTGGATCCCTCGCCGCCAGCCTCCACCGTCTCCTCCCATGCTCACCAAGGTACCCGCATTCCCCCCTCCCGAGCAGCTCATCACACCTGCGCGTGGTTCGACTCCATTTGCCAATCCGGTTGCTCTCCTTCTCACGCATACACCCGTGGCTCGGAACCAGATGACGACGATGTCGCTGGCGTGAACAAGCGGACGCACGCGAGGTTCCTCGTCACCCACGCCGAGGCCGGGCTCATCATCGGGGCGGGCGGGTCCGCCGTCGCCGCAGTCGAGGCCCGCTCCGGCGCCCGGGTCAGGCTCTCCCGCCACGACGAGCTCCTCCCCGGCACCGACCGCAGGGTTGTGCTCGTCTCCGGCCTCCTCAGCCAGGTCATGGATGCCATGGAGCTACTACTCGAGAGGCTCCTTCACCAGGTAGTATCACATCGGCCTATATATCTCTTCACTGTTCAGGGCAACAACGAACTACACTTGCTGCATCCCAGGGAGTGATTTCATCCTCTCAAGTTGATCATTGGTTCTCTCAGGGTGGCCCGGCGTCCGACTCCGAGGCCACGGTAGTGCTTGTGGTGCCTCAGCCCTGCTGCGGCACGCTGATCGGCAAAGGAGGATCTGTTATCAAGTATGCTTTCCTTGCTTTTCTTCTTCGTCTTTTAGTTTCGCGTGCGTCCGTCGACTTTGGGCATCGCCTATCATGCTATGCTTGCTGCATCTCTGATTAATGAACTGTGTGTATCTTGCCTTGTGTACCCATGCGCGCTTGATTGGATTTACCGCGTTATTTTGCCTTGTTTGGAAATGCCATAAATGCATTGCTAGTTCTCTGTTATGCTTGCGAATTGTGATGTGTGTGGTGCTCTTCTGGTCAGGCTGTGGCCTTTTTCTTGTGTTTTCACCATCCTTTGCTGGTGTGAGTTGTGGAAGCTAACACACTTACACACATCCTTCTTCATTGCTGGCTAGGTGTCAGGACCCCGACTCAATGCCACATCGATCTAGCATGTAACACCTCATATCACTTTGCGGCCTCACGCACGGTATTCCCACGGGTGTCGCCTTACCTTTGCCCGGGACCGTTTGCGCCTTTTGGCACACGTATATGACAGTGTCGCTAGCATCCATATGATAAGGAGCCCGGGCTGACATGGCTAGTCGTAAACCCAAGCGGCACAGACTTACAGGGACAGGCATCCATGACCCAGCATCGAACGTGTCGGTCATCAGCGAGTGAATCCAGGCTGTAGCACTGGGCTAGCAGGACTCCGGTGAACCGGGCTGTAGCGGGCTAACAGGACTCCGGTATTCACCGCGTGACATTTCCCCGAAGGGACAGACACATGAATGAAGAAGGACACATGCCGGCCAGCCTAAGTGTTCCGGAGCAGTAGCAAGCTACCATGGCTCGGTGGAAACACTAGGAGACATTTCCCCATAAGAGAGGCTACTAAAGATAAACAACTAGATGGTCAGATCCCACACATACCAAGCATTTCAATAACATACACACAATATGCTCGATATGTGCAAATACAACATGGCATCACAACATGACTCTATGACTCAAGTAATCTATTCAATAGGCTCCGAGGAGCGAGATATTACAAACATGGGTCTCATGACCCAACATACAGAGCATACAAATCAAGCACAAGCGGAAGCTATCATGTCTGAGTACAGACATCTATAAAGGAAAAAGGCTGAGAAGCCTGACTATCTACCAAATCCTGCCGAGGCACAAGATCGTAGCTGAGGTAACAAGCTAAACGTCGAAGTCCACGCGAAACTACTAGTGAGACCGAAGTCTCTCTGCAAAAACATAAAATAGGCAAACGTGAGTACAAATGTACCCAGCAAGACTTACATCAGAACTAACTACATATGCATCATTATCAACAAAGGGATGGTGGGGTTTAACTGCAGCAAGCCAGCTTTGACTCGGTGGCTATCCTGAACTATGACTGTGAGTAACTTTTTGAGGTGGCGCACACGAGTCCACATATTCACCATAACAATACACCACTATGGATCCGCTCCCGTCTCCCTACGAGAACGCCATCCATAGCACTCACGCTTATCTTGCGTATTTTAGAGTATCCACTTTCACTTGTCTATGAACTGATATAAGCAACCCAGAAGTCCTTTTCCGCGGACACGGCTATTCGAATAGATTAGGTTAACCCTGCAGGGGTGTACTTCTTCACACACGCTCTCACCACTTACCGCCGTTTACACGACATGTACTCGGCAACCTTCAAGCGGAAGCCCAACGTGGGTGTCGGCCACGGCCTACCTAAACACTCAAGTCTCTAGTCCAGGTTTATCGCCTATTCGGGTTCCATCCATGAGGAGATCCGGCCGGAGTTTCGCTCACAGCCCCAAACGATGTGAACAGGGTTCCGTGACACCAAACGGGCGCCCGGTTTACCCGGCCACGTGCCTACCGCATCACAGCCCACCCCTACGGTCAGCGCTGCGCACGGCCTCCAGCATACTACAAACACCAGAAACTACTTGCAACTCCTCGACAGAGGACAAGGGTGATTAAGAAGCCGAGAGGGTCCATTGGTTTCGGGCCCAATGCGTGGTAGTAGCTGAATCATGGATCACAAACACAGAACTCAGTTCCTGAGGACGGCTGCAATGAGACAACCCACCATGTACTCCTACATGGCCTCTCACCGCTACCTTTACCAAATCGTGTTCACACGCTTAGCTCACACACCGTAGGACATGTTCACACACCTCTGATTCATCCCCGATGAATCAGACCTGACTCAACTCTAAGCAGTAGCAGGCATGACAAACAAGCATGAATGAGTAGGCACAACAGGGCTCAAACAACTCCTACTCATGCTAGTGGGTTTCATCTATTTACTGTGGCAATGACAGGTCATGCAAAGGATAAAGGGGTTCAGCTACCGCAGCAAGTAACAGATGAATCGATGTTGTCCTAATGCAGTAAAAGAGAGCAGGAGCGAGAGAGTAGGATTGTATCGGAATGAACAAGGGGGTTTTGCTTGCCTGGCACTTCTGAAGATAACATTGAGTCTCCATCAGTGTCAACGATCACATCATCGGTATCACGTCTATCGAGAGGGGACAAATACCGGCAACACAGAAAGGAACACAATCAATGCAATGCACAATATGATGCATGCTCATGACATGGCAAAATGAATGTGTTTTGGGCTAAGGCACCTAAAACCAGATTAAATGAAGTTGGTTTGAATCCAAAATTCAAATTCAAACTCCATATGTGATTAATTAAATGTCATTCACTTCATTTGCCCTAGACAGTAGTGATAAGTTGTTCTAACATGCATGAAAATGGTACAGATGGATTCCTTGAATTTTTCTGATAATTTTTCATATATAATTTGTTTAATTTGGAGTTACGGTTAATTTTCTATGATTTTTAGAAGTTTTAGGCATTTTCTGAAATTTCAGAATTAAATTAAATCCAGAAAATGAGTTATGACATCAGCACTGCGTCATGCTTGCATCAGCAAGTCAACAGGGCTGCCCCGGGTCAAACCTGACCAGGGGGTCCCATTAGTCAGTGACTTAGGGCTCGTTTAGGTCGCTGGCAGGTGGGCCCAGTCAACGGACACATCAGCCTGGTCAACTCCGACGTGTGGGGTCGGTCAAAGTGTGACGGGCCAGGTCAAACTGACCTATGGGGCCCACAAAATTAGTACTAATCTAAACAGAGAGGTTAAACTAATTAATTAGGCATGGGGGCCCACTTGGCAGTGGCTGTAGTGGGTGATTAGCGGGGTGTTTACGCCCTAACTAAGTGGCCACGTCGGCGAGTGACGCCGGCGACCACGGCGACGGCGAGACCTCGCCGGAGTTGCTCGGGACGGCGCTACGGCCCGCGGTTGGGCACCCTGAGGGCACCAGGAGGGAGCCCGTGCTCCCGCGCGTCTAGGGGCGCACGCAGCTGGGCGCAGGGAGGCCGGGGTCGACGGCGGCGACCAGAACGGCGGCGGCCGGAGCTACGGGTTCGAGCGGCGCGGGGCTGCAGCTTGCAAATGAACAAGCTAGGCGGTTGGGAAGCATCTGCGGGACGTGTCGAACTCGTCCAGGTGCTCTTCATGGTCAGCAGGGGTCGCTAGCAACGGCGAGCTTCACGGCGGCGGCAGCGAGCTCGCGGCCATCACAGAAACCACGGCTAGGGGATGCAATCGATGGTGGGGAGAGGGGGAGAACGAAGAGGAGCTCACAGCGGTGAAGGGGAGCAACTCGGTGTAGCCGGGGACGCGCTGAGGCTGCAAATTTACCGGAGGGGGCCGTCGGATCCGGAGGTTGAAGACGACGGTTGACGACGATGCAGGGCCTCCCGGCGTCCCGTAGCTCGATTGGGAGGATGAGGAGGTTTCTTCGGTGCCTCTGGGGTCGGCGGAAGGGCGAGGGGTGGCTGGTGGCCGCGAGGACGATGGGTGGCGGCCATGGCTGCTCC